CCTCCCCCACCACCTCCGGCTTTCCTCCTCTGCGCATGCGCTCCGCTGCTCCAGGAGCGCAGTTTCGGCCTGTTCCGCGGCCGCTCGGTCATTTTCGCCTCTTTGTTTTACTGATAGTGGATTTAACTCGGATTCAAGCCCACATCCAGCGGACTGTGCTGCTCCCAAACAGGTTAGTTCGGCTAACTACTCTCGGTCCCCGCATGTGTCCGTCCTCGGCGGGTCGGTGGCCGGTTTACGGTCCCGGTTCGCTCCCCCTCCTCCTCATTTTTCGCATGTCTCCCTCGGCTTGGTGCTACGGGGCATGCTGTACGTGTTGTTTTATGTGTCTGTGTGGTGGTGTATGGCGGCGCCGGGCCCTGCAGTTGCACACCGGGGATGGGGGGTTTTCAGGAGGAAAGTGTGCCGTAAAGGCGGCTTTAATGCCGGCCGGGATGCACACGGTTCGCCTTGCCGGAGAGGAGGCTGTGGCAGCCGCCTCTGTGCCTGTCTCGTCATGTTTAAATGCTGTTGTTCCTCTGAACCCAACAGCACTTCTTGTTTCCCATTGAGCTGGAATGTTCTTGAAGAAAAGAGCTCATGGTCCACCATTAGGCTAACCTCGTCCTCCTGCCGTCCAAAGTTCGGCGTGTGCGTGTGGACAATCTGCATGAGGTTCGGATTAAATCAAGACACAAAGTTGGTGCATTTTTTTCCTCCTGGGTGGATGTCGCCCCTCGCCAGGCTGCTGCTGCTGCTGCAGCGAGCCCTGGGTGACATTGTAGAAGGGGGGGAAGGCGTGCAGAGAGCAACCAACAAGTCTGTGCAGTTTTTTTTTTTTTTTATTTCTGTGGGGAGCTGCAGCTAACATATCACCTTCACACCAACACGTTTCTTGTGTGATGGACCCAGCAGCACAAAATCAGGCTTTACATTCAAGGGTTTCCTCAACTTTTCCACATCCTGCAGCCTGGGGAGCATGGTGTGGGTGATGTGCAGCTCACACCATGTAGGTGTCTGCCTCAGAGCTGGGCTCAGGCTGGTTTACATCCATTAAAGGTGGTCTCAAGTTTAATTTTCGTGGAAATCTCTGTCTTGTGAAGCCATCCTTTGTGTGTAATCGAGATGGCAATGTGCTCCTTACTTTGAGCAGAGCGATGCATGTGCAGAAAGCTGCTTTCCTGTTCTTCATCTGCTGGAGTTTCTCTGTGCTCACCTTAAATCTGAGCTTCACAGCAAGCTTTTGTCACATAAAGACTGTTTTCAAAGGCTGAATATGCAACCTACACAAGTGTGATGTGATGCGTAACGCTTGAACGCTGAGAATGGATTTGAGCAGTTCAACTTTTGAAATGCAAAATACTGACGTGCTTATAGATTGAGGATTTTTTTTTTTGATGAGGAAGAAGTAGATGCAACTTAAGCCTTTTTAAAGAGGTAATTTAATGTTGTAGGATGGGATAAAAGGCATTGTTTAACATTTTAAAGAAAGCAAATCTTTGTTGGGGAATGTTTTAAAGTAGAAATATGTCAAACAATGAGGAAAAACTCCAATTTGACTTACTGCAGGAATATTTCTGATTATATTTCTGTCTGTTCGACCTTCATTAGATGTTCAGGATACATCACAACATATGGCGCTTATTTCTTTATGCTTGCCTTACATCTGAGTTTTGCAGCAGGATTTTGACACACCAAGACTGATTTTGAAGGCAGAATATGCAACATATATGAGTGTGATGTGATGTGATGTGTGAAGCCTGAACACGGGATTGACTGTTCAATGTGAGACAACTAGCACCGAGTTTGAAAGCTTTGAAATGAGAAATACTTGCATACTTTTAGATTGTGGACTTTTTTTTTGACAAAGGAGGAGGACTCGTCATTTAATGCATTTTTTAAGAGGCAAGTTTTATTACAAAGAAGTTTTAAAAGTAAGTTAAATGTGTGAATCTTGAATGCGTCTGGGATATTTTCTTAAAAACAACAAAGAAGAACGCCCTGTGTTCTCGCTTACTGCTAAAAGATTTGCTTTACGTTTCTGTCTTTGCGGCCTTCATCGGGTGTATGGATAACATCACAACATCTCATGTCTCTGTCTATACATACATACATCCGTCTCTGTCTAAGACGTCTGTAATTGAGATGACCATGTGATCTTCTCTTGTGTGTTTGTGCACAAGGCTGCTTTCCTCTTCACACTTCCTCTGCGCTCACCTTGAATCAGAGTTTTCACAGCAGCATTCTGTCACCAAAAATTACTGATTGTAAAGGCGGAAAATGCAACTTACACAAGTGTGATGTGACGTGTGAAGCCGGAAAACTGAGAATAGAGTCGTTATACGATTGAAATGAAAAGTGTTTTTAAATTGTGAGTCTTTTTTTAAATCAGGGAGACAGAGTAGAGTTCATTTTAAGCGTTTTTAAAAGGTGACATAGTTGCTTTAAATGGAAAAAAATAGATTTTATGTCCTTAGATGTGTGAATCTTTCTTTGTTTTAAATTTAAATGTACTTGAAAATGAGGACCAACTCCTGCACATCGTCGTCAGTGTTTCTGTCTGTCTGACGTTCTTCAGGGATCTGGGAAGGTTATATTTACTGACACACACATTAAAGCTGAGTCGATGAGCGTAGTTTGGCTTATGATCACTTTGCATTCACTGAGAGCCTGTGCAAGAACATCAAATACAAAATGAGTCAACGCAATAATTGTTATCAGTAGTTCTCTGATTGAATGACTGAGCAGCTCCTTCATAGGTATACTAGGAGCTGACTGAATACTCCATCCAGTATTCAACATATTTCCAATTACTGATATTGTTATTGGAACTGCAAGGTGGCGCGGTGGTTAGCACTGTTGTCTCGCAGCAAGAAGGTCGGCGGTTTGCGTCCCGGTGAGGACACCCGGGGTCTTTCTGCGTGGAGTTTACATGTTCTTCCTGTGCAGCGTGGGTTCTCTCCGGGTTCTCCGGCTTCCTCCCACACAGTCCAAAAACATGTTGAGGTTAACTGGTGATTCTAAATTGTCCGTAGGTGTGAATGTGAGTGTGCTTGGTTGTCTGTCTCTAAGTGTAGCCCTGTGATAGACTGGTGACCTGTTCAGGGTCGCCTTAAGTCAGCTGGGATAGACTCCAGCCCCCCCACGACCCTAGTGGGTGTATAGATGATGGATGGATTGATATTGTTGTTTTATTTAGACCTATTTCTGATGAAATAATCAAAGTTAAAAATGCGTTGCTTTGGCTCCGATGGAGTTGTCTCTCTCCATCTGTAGTCGTCACTCTGTTCTCGAACAACATTCCCATCCATGGCACAACATTGCAACAGCCTTCTGCTGCGAGTGAGACAGTGCGCAGAATTATTTTCTCATTTCTTCAAATTTGCACCTTCGTCTGACTCACCTGTCACTCACTCAGGTGTGCAGAGATTTTATTATCCAGTGTAAAAAGTCAATTAACTTTTCCTCATTCTGATGCAGGGATCTGTTCTTTCACGTATTTCTATTCGTTTTGAGAGGGAGAAGTTTTCTCACGGTCAGAAGTTACCTCGACACGGTGGAGAGGTTTTGCAGATGATGGTTGAACGTGTAGCTGCGGCTTCACTGTGAAGCGTCGTCGTTACGTTCCTGCTCAAACAGCTGACACGTAGCCCAGATCTCTAAAAAAAACTAATTTAGCCCAGATGCTACAGAGATGTCTAGACATCTTTTTGATCTGCCAAGTCAATGCTTGCATGCACTGTAAACCACAGCGCGACACACTGAGCTGACTTTTGTTGCAGTGAAACCAAAGAGCATTCATCATCTCAGTGCTGGATGGAAGTTAGTGCAGTCGGGCTGCCATTAAAGCTGCATGTTTTCAGCTCCAAACAGCCGTGGACATTAACAAAACAAAATGTGAGCCTCCGTAACCTGACTGACAGCGTGCTCGTTGAGAGCTCTTGACTCGTGCTGCCTGCTAATGAATTGAGTGTTTTTTAGGAAGTACACACACTGTGCAAGTTTTTATTTTTTTTTTCTGCTTTTCTGAGGTTCAGTAGCCTTGAATCCTGTAACAAGCTGCTACTGAACTGAGCGGCTCTCTGATGCTTTACACCATCACATTTGATGCTTTACACCATCAGAGAGGAAAGAGATGTAACGTTGACGAGGTCAGATTTTCATTGATGGCGCTTTCACTCACTCTTTTTTATTTTTTATTTTTTTGCTTTCTTTGAAAATTGTATCAGCTTGACACCACAATCCAAACCTGTGACGCGTCAATCAGCAGCGAGGAAATGTTCTTGCCTGTCACAGCTTCTAATTCAGGTTATAATTCATCTTAAATTAACTTTCCTGCGCTTTTTTAAAACCCTGCTGAAGGACTCCACCGCCCTGAGTGATGGTTCCTGGACAGCTGAATGCTACTTGGCTTGCACTTTGAGGCCCCGTATGATATGACTGTTGCATAAGACTTCACAGGCCCTCCAAGCATCAACTTTCATGTCAGGTTTGTGCTTACTTTGCAGGGAATCCCCAAATTACCCCCCCGGCTTTTCTGTACAGCTGACCTCTGAACTGAAATTGAATAGAATCTAAAGAGATTTTCTGATTTTTATAGCAAGATGTTAGCATTTCCGGCAGCCGGTAATGAATACAAACGGCCAAAGGAACATCTATCTTGACCTTTTTACCCCAAAACACGCATCTCTGCTCCGTTTAAACGATGTTAATGGTCCCACCGGGCAGTCTGATAAAACTGTCGGCCGCGGAGGACAGGCGAGCAGGATACGGCCTCTTAAGGCCCAGCGCTGCTTGATAATGAGAAAACTCAATAGTAGCTGAAGCGCCAGAAGATGCATTTGTCTTTTTCTCGGACAGGAAATGATCTCAGTCGGCTCCCTAAATGAGCCGCTGTAGAGAATCCCTCACCCGTAAATCAAGCTGCCGTTTGGAGAAGCGGTTCACATTTTCGGCGCTGCTCTCACTTTTTTCCCTCCTGAGCACAGTTTCTTTGAACATTTGATAAGAAATTAAAAATGAATTCTGTAGAATAAGCTGAGTCTGCACATAAATCACAGCACAGACCAGGCTGATGCCCCGAGTCGGATAAAAGAACTGACGGATAGAAAGTTAGTTATGACCCCTTTGGTCTAGTCCACATTTAGAAGTTTAATATAGTCTTTAAGAGGGCTGCATAATTGAATATTAAAC